ATAGGGAAGGTTGAGTTCAAGGATGCGACCCTCTGTTGGTGCTCAGCCCCAGAAGAGACGCCTGGGAATCATTATTTCATTGTTTATCACTAATATCTTATCTGATCTGTCGTCATTTGTTTAACTGATATAGTATTTTTCTGTTAAAGATAAAATATTTTAAACAGAACAGATGTCTGTTGATGGAAAAAAAAGGTTTTGTGGGTCAGTATTTTTACTTTGTTCCTCACTGTCCATGATGTTTACCGCTTATTAATCTTTTTTTGATCATGAGGCTAAGAAATGTAATGAAGGACAACGCTGAAAATGTTTTTCTTGTACCCACTAGGATTTCATACTGAATTTGCAAACTTGAGAAAAATAAAAATAAATAAGTGAAAACAGTTTTTAAATTTCAAGGACCTTTCTAGATAAGACCAAAAATGTCAGATCAATTAGAATGAGACAATATTTTTGATTAGAATAATTAGAGCATACCAGTAAGTAAGCAGAATAGTTAATAGTACGGCATCCCTGTCTGCCAAAGCTCTTGGTTTGATCCGGAAGAAGCGGCCGGCGGCAAACTTTTTTTGTTCTTCATTTCGGCCAGAGGCAACATGGCGGCGGAAAACAGACAGGGGTGCCGTACTAGCTGTGATCGGCTTAGTTGTTTCACCCAGTCTGATAAGAGGAAAAACTCTAATAGCTGTCTGTTAGTAGCTAATTGACGTTTTGTAATTCTGTTTAACAAAAAAAATTCCTCATTCAACCGGGAACAGCGCTGAGCCCAGCCGTTGTGTCACGTGACCAAATGAGCTAATTTCATTGGCTAGAAGCTGCTCGACTCTATCGAGTGTAGATTGCTTTGGCTTGAGTTCACCAAAAGGTCAACACTTTTGCGGCTGAATATTTACCAGATAAAAATTGAGTGTAAGGAATTCAACGTCTAAAAAATTTGAGTGTTTAAAATTCGGTGTTAAAAAAATTCAGTGTTTAAAATGATGCTTAAAATTTGGTGTTAAAAAAATAATCCTCCCCCTTAAAGGGCCAGGGTGGAAAACGATTATTTTAGATGTTTCACAGCTTGAATTTTGTTGCCTTTAAAATTCAGGTCAATTCAACAATTGAAATCAGATCCGATTTTTTTCCAAAACAATATATGTTATTTGTCATTTTATTATGAAACTTAAGTGAAGAAAATAAATATTTTAAACAGATTTTGTCACAAAAAAATATAAAATGAGATTTTTAAGCCATAATGCCCAGGTTTAATATAATATATTCAAGGCCAAAAACCAGCTGCAAATGAATAAAAAAAATGTGGTTTCTGTTTTTAATGAAAGGAGTTTAGACATGTTAAGATCTATTTGTATGAAACAGTGTCATACATTTTATTCTGTGAGAATCTGACATTGCTCCACATCTACTGTAGATGTGAACAAGGGAAGAACATCATTGGGGCAAACAGCTAAACCAGGCATTGAAAAATTTTTTAGTACTTATATTTATAATTTTGAGTAGCAGTTTGTTCTAAATATGACTGCAGGGGTTTAATTAGAGGTGTAACAATACCTCTATCTACCCTGATGCATCGATTAAATAATTAATGACCCTGTTGCATAGATAAAGGAAACATTTCTCCACATTGTCAGGATATACTGTTAATTTGAAGTCAATCAATTGATTATAATAACTTTTATAGTTATAAAAATACAGTTTTTTATTTATTTAAAGATGCCTGCAAGATTTTAGGAATAAAATTGTAAAATATATGATTTGATATTGGGGAGTGGCGGCCTAGTGGTTAGAGCATAGAACTTTGATCCCAGAAGTTCTAAATTTGAGTCCCACTCCCACAGACTGCCACTGTGGGTCCCTGAGCAAGACCCTTAACCCCACTCTGCTCCCTGGGTGCCGCACACTGGCAGCCAAAGGGATGGGTTAAATGGTGAAGTGAATTTCTCCAAGGTGAGATCTATAAAGTTAAATTATTATTATTGTTATTATAGAAAT